CACGAGGGTTTCCCTGCCCCAACCCTTGCTGACCGGGGGCACTCGGGGTCCTGGTCCCAACGCTGGGGACAGGATTGGTGCCACGGGGCAGAACAGAGAGGGAATGAACCAGCATCGGCCCTCCTCGGCTGGAAGAGCCACCACGCTCCCAGCCAGCCTTCAGCACTGGAGACATCAGCTTCGGAGCAGTTACTTCTCTTTCCCAAAACCCTGAGAGGAAGAAGAGACACGGGATTCTCTGTTTTCTCCTCGCTACCAGCCGAGAACACACACAGGAGACAGGCAGCCTGCTCCGAGCCCGTCGCCGGCCTTACAGCTAAATGCTCATCCGCATCCCGGGAATTCTTAAGCAGCAGAGCCCCGAGGGAAGCTTCTGCACACCCAGAGCGACAAGGATTCCAGCCCCAGGCGGGCACCGAGCTCTCACTGCAGCTGACGACGCCTGAAATCCCACACAGAGGGTCTCCACGGGCTGCAGCGTCCTTTTTCCTCCTTCTCTGAGGAAACCGGTGGCTCAACCCGAACTGCTCCGCGCTCAGCGTGGACGAAACACGTCTGGTTCCACCCAGGAGAGAAACCAGCCTCTCTTTGGGCTGCGGACACGGTGAGAGAAATCGGAGCGGAGAGAGGAAATAAAACAAAAGAGCTGCCTCAGCCAGCTGGGATCATTAGCCAGGAGGTAAAAGGGACAGACAGAGCTAAAAGAGGCCGGGACTGCCTCAATCCAACAGCAAAAATAAAACCCACGAGTCCTGAAGAGGAAAAAAAAGCCAGCACCCTGTCACCTTGCAAGCAGCGTCATTCTTTTTTGCAAAACCCACAGCGGGGAGGACAACTGATGGGGAAAAAATCACGGCAGACACCGGTTTTGGTGAGAAAGACGAGTGTATTTCTGCTCTTACCGTGGTGTCACGGACAAGTTACAGCGTGGTTTAGTACACGGAGACACTGGGACACACACACCTGAACCCCGCTGTGAATTCCATCAGCCCACCGCAGGACCAAACCCTACACCGAGCGTGCAAAGGAAGCGTAAACAATGTAAAAATATATTATATATTTACAGACACCATCTTTTTAAAAAGCTGAGATGCCAAGTAGAAATTCCACATCTAAAACGCGTCGGGGAGCAAAACGAGGGTTAGATTCCGTGAGCTGCTTGGAGGCAAATTCAGCGTCACAAAAATAAAATTTCTAAAAAAAATCTCCCGGGGTGACGCTGACGGGACTTTGGGAGACACAGGGCCAAGAAAGGACCCGAGATGCCAGTGACAAGAGGGTTTGGGACAAGCAGGGACAGTGTTTTGCTGTGAGGGAGCAGCAGAGCTCCGTCAGCCCGACCGGCGCCAGGATTTCTGCGCCGCGATCCCGTCATCGGAGCTGGGCTCGGCGTCGAAAACGTGTGGGCAGTGGCGTGACGGGGGAAAAGCTCACCCAAAAAGTGGCTCCTTGGAACAACCGATGCTAAAACCACTCGCAAAACTCCCCGGTGGGTGCCACGGCTCCGGGCAAGGGAGCTGTTCCATTCCCTGCCAGAAGGATTTTAGTATTTAAAAGCGTTAATCTCATTAATCAGCACATTTCGGATTCGCAGCCTTTGTCTGGGTTTAGAGACTCCAGCAGGTCCTGGGCAAGAGCCGGCTAAAATCTCGGTTTACACGCTGACCCCAAGGTCTTTCTCGATTCTAGTGAACTCACTGAGGATCTTCCTACCCCAAAAAACCCAGAAAGCCATCACCAGGTGTTGCAAAAATAATTTTCAACCCCCCCCCAAGACAGCTCAGACGAATTACCCGAATTATTTTCTGAAGGAAAACAGAGCAGCCAAGGGTGCGGGATGGAGCCTTCGAGCGTGGATTTGGAAGCAGCCAGGTCAGAGTTGGTTGGTTGTTAGGGTTTTTTTCCCCCCAAAATAATGATATTCACATTTCTCCAGAGGTTTAAGTAGGCAAAGCCTTTGCCCAGAGCATCTTTCAGTCAAATACCTACAAATTTGAGCATCGAATAGGGAGTTAAATCCTGTTTTTAAAAATGATCGTGGAGAGCAGCCAGAAACCTCTGCCAGAGCCTCGAGGTGACTCGGCTGCCGGCGTCTCTTCAGCCTCATCCAGAGCTTCTGACTTTGTGCAAAATGTGGAAAAAGAAACCGCTGGAGGATGCAGGGTGGTGCCTGGCAGGTCTGAAGGGACTCCCTGCCCCAAAGAAAGGCTCGACTCCCCGTTTCCACTTGGAGC